AATTGCAAACAAAAAGATTTTTTTTTTCATTTTTCATTTCTACAATAAATATAGCTATTTACATACTTTAATAAATAAATAACTATACGTATTAAATACTATGATAATTAAATGTATGTATAACTTATCATTAAAGTTATTAATTATTAGACTTATAATAATTGTTGTGAACATTAAAACCTATTTGTTATTTTTGACTACGATCTTCTTTAACAAATTTAAGTATAATAAATAAGTTTTTTTTTTTTAATATACTTAATTATTTAAATACCTTATTTAAAACTATCATACCCTACAAAACCTATCCAGCTCGTGGATTTTTTCGGGGAATTCAGAAGTGTCCACAATTAAGAGGCACACGTAAACAGAGGATTCACTGAATCTATACATGACTATAATACATAACGGTTACTCAAGATGTGTATTGAAAAAGTCTATAGTAAATGGATATGTAAGAATCTTCTCATCTGTCGCGTAATCATGGTTTGCACTCAGTCTCGTTTAACTAGATAAAACCGTATTTAGTATTAAAGGAATTATTGCATAAAATAAATAAAGATATCATTAACCAAAATCGGAAAAAAAAAGTTATTTTTTGTTATAGCAGTATCAATATATTTCAAATAATAGATTTATCGTTCATATATTATTTTAGTTGTATTAAAAAAGATACCAAATCGTATACCGATTTAAAATCGGATCACATTTACATATTACTTTGTGTGTTAAGCTAATTTAAAATTGTAATTAATATGTGGATATAATAAAAAAATTGTAATGTACAAAGCTATTCCTGTACAAAGCAAATATATCAAAAATAACCAAAACTCTAGTACACCTATGCAAGCAGTGCTGTTTCTAGGTTTTGCGAGGTCCTACAATATTATATCAGAATCCATAGGTACACCAGAATAACGGTCCTCAATCCATAGATCTAGTGTTTAAAGTGGAGGGGGACGAAGGGGAAAAGAGTCCCCCTTCTTATTTATGGTAAGTATAAGTATGCATCCTCTTTAATTTGAGTCGCCAAAAGTCCGGGTGGACGCTTAATGGCATTGGTCACTAAAATATAATATTGAATATACAATACTTATTATAATATTACATGAAATTTATTTTCTTGATTTATTTGAACAAGTAGAAAAAATTTCGGAAAAATAATATTTAGGTATTACGATAAGAAAAAATGGTAGATAATGTACACCATGGGTTAATTTAATTGACGCTGTGTCTAATTATAGATGATCCCGAGCGATTATTACCCATAGCTCTAAAATTAAAGTGATAGTGATATCGACTATTATTTAGAATAAATGTAAACAGAATGGAATAACTATAAATAGTATAAATATTAAATTATGATTGAGGATAGACACTATCTTATAATATAGACACCTTATGTGCAATGTACGTATTTGTTACTGTCTACATCAGTGTTTCCCAACTGGTGTTCCGCGGAACCTAAGGGTTCCGTGAGCTTGCGCGAAGGGTTCCGTGAGAAATTTAAGAAAATATAAATTAATTAGCAATATTTTAATTTGGACTATGATATGATTGGACTATGACCATAGAACTCAACATAGAACTGGAATTGACACATTTCCCGATATGAGGTGCATAGTTTGTAGCATTTCGGCGCATACAAAGACAAAGAATAAGTTACGAAATCAACTGAACGCGGCTTCGGACTTACAAATCTCATTTTCAGGAATAACTCCAGATTTAAAAATAGTTATGAAAATACTATGAAAATATTCCAATCTTCTCATTGAATATATCTTAGAGGTAATGAGAGACAAATATTAAATGTTATGCTTTAATATTACATTTATAATATTGTAATAATAATAAACAACTGACACTCGGCAGAATGGGTCAAGCCAATTTCGAATTAGTACAAGGGCATATTTAAAAGGGGGGGGGGGGGATTAATATATAAAGTAAATTTTTATAGTTATATTATTCTTTAGTTATAAAAATTACGACAAAATATAATTCATAATTTCATTCTTCTTTCTTTAGGAGTTACAGTTTTAAATTGTTCAATGGCTTCATCTACATTGATGTTGTATACTTATTCTTATTTTATAAACATTAATAAGAGGTTATCTAAACGTTTTTGTGCCATTGAGTACATAGGCGCAACTAGGGTGGTTGGGGGGGGGCTTAGCCCCCTAAATATTTCAATAGCCCTCCCAGATGAAAAATATTGAAGCACTATTTACTAACCTTAAGTAAAGATCTTCCAAAGAGAGTTTACTCATGACAAGCTCAGTTGATTGTTTTATTAAAATGGATTTTGTTAGAAGTTTATATTTTATTAATCATTACAAGGTTAATATTATATTTTTGAATAATATTTTTTTCTAAATGAATTTATTTTAATAGTTAATTTTTTTTTAGGATGTTTTAATAATAGAAATTCATGCTTTAAAATCAGAAATGACTGTAGCAAGAAACTGCATGGAAACTATCAAACGTTATTTTGATATCAATGATATTAGTAAAGTGATCGAAAACCAAATTTATCCCAATCTATATATAAGTTTTTACAAGTAGCAATCAGTATTCCCATAAGCTCAGCTACGTACGAAAGATCATTTTCTTCTATGAAGTGTATCAAAAAAAAAAAGATCGTTTTACAAATTTGGCTATTCTGAATATTGAGAGAGATGTCGTTAACTCGATATATAATGAAGATATTTTAGAAGTATACTGTACTAAAGACAGAAAATTTATATTAAAATTCAATTAAAATTTTATAGTTTGATTTGTATATATGTATTATTAATTTGTGAACTACGGTAGATTTGTTTGAGAGGGGGAGGATGAGGGCTAGCTTTGCTGAAATGTAAATGGAACCTATAATATTTAATATTGATAAATTTTGTCTGTATTTAAATGTATTAAATGGTGGTGTGGGGGGTAGCCACCACGGGTCTGTGTTGTCTTTTCACTAAAAAGCCCCCCCCAAAAAATAAACCCTAGTTGCACCAATGATCGTAAATCGTATCTTTATAGTTACGCACAACTAGTTACAGAAATGGCAACAAATGTTTTTAGTATTTTGAAAAAATTAAAATAAATAGTTTCTTTTCCTCAACAAGGTTCTGAAAACCATTTAATCAATTTTTTAATATTTACATATTAATAATTTGGTTCATCAACAGTATGTATTAGCAGATAAATTTCTGTTTTTAGCAGTGCATTTTTAAAAGAATTTACAATAAATCCTTGCAATATTTTTTTGTTTCCTAAATAATTTCCTTACATTAAGAACACTATTATGGTGATATTTCACGTACACTTCATATAATTTCGTCTGATATTTCAGAATCCTGTCAACTAGGTTACAAAATATTTTCACTGGGCGACATTTATATCGCCTAATTAACAAGTTTGAAAAATGCAGTGGTTTTTAGTGCATTACTGTCTACATCAAATGCGTCCTTTAACAAATTAATATTTTCATTGCTAATTTGAAGATTTTATAACATAGACACTTTTTATTAGGTCAATTGTTTCCAGAACAAACCTAAAATTCAAAGCAATAATCATATTATCATATTGTATAAAGTAGTATAATATATTTTTCTCATTTCATCTTTTTTGGTCTTAAATATGAGTATATTATGATGTATGACTTTAACTATCTATTTTGGTAGAAATTATTCTATGTCTAGTTACTTTTCAAAACTTCAACAAGTTGCATTGCTGTCAACAAATTTATATTGGATGGTTGTAAACATGAACTAATTTTTAATATTAAACTAAAGATTGTGTCTAGTACTTCCAAGAAAAATATAAACTCAAAACTTTTTATATGACACAGAATACCTAAGGTCTAAAGCTCGTATGTTTGCTTAATAATAGAAAAAATAATTTCATCAATCGCAATTAAAGGAGAAGATTAATTCACTTTCACAGTTACTGTTTCAAAGTAACATGCTCAACTAGTAATTTAATGTGATTTCAATTTTTTAAGCTTTAAGTTTGTAAAGTTAACTATTTTGAAAAAAAATCACTAATTGTTCGTGGTTTTATGTTTATGACAGGGGGTTACTTATTTTTCTTCTCGTTTTTTTTGCTCTGTAATATTATAAATATACTAAGTTTAAGTCTATATTTTATTTAAAATATTAGGTGATCACAACTATTAGATTATTGCGATTTATAAAAAAATTAATAATGAATAAATACAACTTACTAGTAATTATTAATATTCTAATAATATTATTATGATTTGTAGGTACTAGTAATTTATTTAAAATTTATATTTATAAATTAATAATTTATTTATTTATTTACTCAATTATATAGTTAGAAGTCATTAACTTCAAAATTACAGAAATGATTACAGCTAGCGAATGCTAATATTGCTAATAATCGAAAATTATCAACAGTTACCTTACACAACATAAAAATGTAAAGAAATACACAAATACATACATTATATTTCGTAACAACTACAATCATAAAATAAATATAATACAGGAGTCCAAGATAAAAATGTATTGAATATAATGACCAACAATTTTTTTTAAATCATCATTTTATTATTTTATTACTTAAAAATACATTCCAATTATTTGAAATTTGTTTGTTAAAATTATATATATATATAAACGCTCTGTGAAACCAAGAGTGATACTAAGAATATTAACTGTTAACAAATTAATACTTAAAATTAACATTTTTTAAAATTCTGATAGTCAATGATTTAACACTACAAATTACAATCACACAAACGTCTCGTATAGAACAAACCTTATGTTATTAAAAACTGGATACAGTTTTTCTCACTCTACAAAAATTTTATATGATTATACTACTATTTTTAGGCATTGATTTTATTATTATTATTTAATATATAAATATTTTATATTTTATATATTATCGGTTTTGTACTACGGCACTCGATGCAAACTTATAGCGGCGCATTAAACATTTGCATCGTTTGTTACGTCAAATAAACGAAACAAGCGATGTGCGGTACTTACAAATCGTTGAGTTTTATCCGGTGCAATGACAGTGATCTCGTGCGTGTGGACGGCACCATTGTCTCCAGAGGGGACGACACCGACGGTTTTCTGCGAAGTCAGACCCTCGGCTCCCGCAAACTTTACGTTGAATATGTTCGGCACTTTGGTGATGAGTGAGAGCCGCCGGGACAGTTTGCGGCCAATTTTCTTCGACTGCTTTCGGAACTGCAGCGCTTCGACCTGCTGCGCCAGGTTATCTACGGAACACGAGTCCTCCATGGCCGCGGCGGTGGAGGCACTCGTTCCCGTCCGGACGAGATCGACGGATCGAATGCAATGGAAAGAAAAATTGAATTACAAACGTCGCACAAGAAAACACAAGTTGCACGTGAACATGGGGGAAAACCAAACCAAACGTCGACGGAACACGGCACACACGTATGTAAAAAAACGAAAAAAAAAAAATATATATATATAATAATGTCGCGATTGCGAACCGATCTTGGCACGAAACGCGTGCACGCTCACACGCAAACGACAACGACGACGAAGGAGCGACGATCAACACGCGCGGCGAACGAGAGACGACTGCCGGCTGTCCGTTATCAGCACATGACTTGCCGCCAACCGCTAGCCATCTTACCGCCGCCGTCGTTCTCCTGCTCGACACCGGTACATGTAACTTGGTGACGCGCTCAAATTTGTTACGGTTAATACCAGTAAGCAATATTCATATTAAAATCAATCATTTGGAGAAAAAATTGTAATTTCAGTAAAATCAAAATTTGTTTTTATCCGCCAGATCGACATACTGATTTTATTGTGATTGTATTCTTGTTTTTTCCGTGCTATCAGTAATTATTTATTAGGCAATGCAATTTGTCTATTGTATGCGTTACATGGATTTATCCGTCTAAATACCTGAAATTCCATCAAAACTGTATTATATTTTAGAACTTGAGAATCTAAGGAAATCGATCACCACGACAAATTCAATTATATTTTCGTTAACTTTTTTACGACTTAATTACTAAATAAAATATTAAACATTAAATAGAAATCTAAAATCTGTGAACATTATTTGTTATTACATATACCATAAAAAAAATATAGTACAGTAATTATGATTGCATAACTAAATACGGTATAAAATATATAGGTTGTCTTCTAGTGTAATACATGTAATATTTATATAAGTGTTTTTAAAAATAATAACAATAGTAACAATAGTGTATGTTTTACTTTATACGGTTTTGAAATTAATAAATACATTTAAATATCGTTTTTACTTTGTTTTAGAGTTTTACAGTCGAATCACTAAATAAAATATTTAATATATGGTAACACAATAAAACTTCCTCCCCTTGTATAACGAAATTGACAATAGTTTAAGTGAATCTATATATTATAATATTTATCTCGCTCTAATAAACTACGAGACGATAATAAATTTTAATTTTTTTTAACAATAATTTGTAAACAGTTAAATGAATAACCATTAACAGACAATACTTTGTAATATAATAGTATCTGAAAATATTTTATGAATGGAAATTATTTCATTTTTTTATTAGAATGTTTATTTAGGTATTATACTATTTATTTCTGTATGCTGTTTTTAATATGTGAAATAGTTTGCTACTAAAAATCTGTCAAATATAGTAATCACTCATATGATTCAGAATTTATAGCTTCCATATTACGGTCTGATACCAGTCAATTATTTTAACAATACGTAGTTTAAATGTTTAACTATCGAAAAAATACACGCTAAAGTACCTTCACTAGTTGGTTCATCCCTTAAGTCACTCAAGCCACCACATTAAAATTTAAGAAAAAATAATCATAATGTTTATTATACTTTTTTTACGTATAAACTGTATACATTCTGGATGAAAAAAAAACTACCAAGACATTTATTAGATCAAATAAAAATGTATTAACTATATATTTAATAAATATCAGTCTGTACTTAGAATAGATCCACTCGTTTGTACAATTATATTAAATTGTACATAATAACAGTTTAATAAAATTAAAACATGAAATAATATTAAATTTTATTAAATACATTATTATTTTATATTTTCGTTTTTCCTTTGCTCAGTAATACGTTTTAAGAAAACATCACTTATCTCACGGCTTGCTTACACATACACACACAGTGCATTTTATAAAAAGTTTTCACTGGGCGACAAAAAATGTTTTTTTCAAAATAGTCAATGTATAATACCATAGTTCGATTATAGTATTACACGTTCGTTTCGCATAATTTCGCCCAATCTTTTAAAATACTGTCGTCAGAGTATAATCACTGAGCGACATTTGTGTCGCCTAGTTAACTAGTTAAAAAATGCACTGTACACACACAAAACCGAAATTGATTAAAAAAACAATCATCGCACTTCTGCAAAATATTAACATACCTAACTAATAAGCACTAATCGAATATTAATCGTAATACTATATTAGTGTTAGTACTTATATTAATATAATTACAAATTTACACTATTGTGTTATACTGAAGTCGAAGACTTGGGAAACTTACATTAAATGTGAATTTGCTCTAAATTTTCAATTAATTATTGAACTCCATTTCGACTTCGAGTGAAAATTAATAAACAGCAATTTAGTTTCCACGCGTTATATTATAATATATTTATCCAATGAAACATACATTGTCACACTTTTGAGTTGAGTATACCAAATTTAAAAGTTTTAGCCCGAGCAAGAGAGGGGAAAATTTCACGCTAACCTCCTACATCAGTCCTCAGCTGTTGCGAGTATATGAGTGGGTTAGTACACCATAATATAGAACAGCCGCTTTCCACTGACTCGTCACGTATAATATATAAATATGTCACGATAAAAGCCACCGACCGACGATGACGACGATGGTGTCAATTACTATGCGTTTATACGATGAACACAAACAGGTTTAATATCCACGCATACTTGTTTTTCCATATATTTTTATCGTCTTAGGCCCCAATAAAAATACGAGCAACTAGTAGATCTAAAACTGTTTCTATACCAACGTACAATAGTAACAAATTTATTAAGTCATATTCATATAATTACATATCAATTAAATGTGGCCACACGTCCAGATTGGGAGGAGTGATTTTCATAAAATTTGAATGATATTTTCATTTGCTAGGTGTTCTGCTGCATTTTTTTATGTAGTCTTAATTGGAAAATATATTGTCTTTTACCAAAATTCCCGCTTTTATGCTTTTCTTAAAATATAGTATGATTAAATAACTATAACAAATAACTGGGACTCGGATTTGTATATAATAAAAAAGTCAAAGTATGTAATTCTTTATGTCCTTATTTTTGACAAAATATATATCATTATATACTAAAACGTAACCACATATTTCATAAAAAAAGTGAAAATCAATTGCTTGTTCACCAGTTCAACGGCATATTTTAGATCACTAGAAAAAGGCTTTAATAACATTAAGAAAGGCATTAGAAGCTATAGGAATTTTCCTTTCTAGAGTGGACCTATCAAGCCTGTCAATAACTTCATATATATATCACGAATGATGTCGATACTGCGTTCCATCATCTATGGCTCTGAATTGTGACTGTACGAGGATACAAACCAAATAAAGGAAAAATAAATATACGAAAATTACTGCAGGAATGTTATTAACGAAGTTAAAGTTGTATCTAGACCAACAGCAGTTAGCAACATACCGAAAGTAGAAGATCCAAAGCAACGTAATGTTTCATTATATAATCAAAAGTGGAGTATTTACTCCAACAAAAAATAATAAGCAAAGAAAATAGGTAATTTTTATAAATAAATATAAACAGTTACACCACATCCATAATTATAATTCATCTATAAAAGATACAACACTATTTTATAAAATATTAAGAAAAATTTCAGTTAGCATAAATATGAATTCAACAAACCGCACATAAGTGCATATTTTAAGTAAATATTAAGTAGATGCATTTCATAATCTATGTAAACATATCAGTATTTTATAGATACCTACATACTCAGAATAGGTATGACACCAATAGCACAATTTATTTGAACTGATATTTTCACCTCTTCCAATCAATACAAGATTTATTATTTTCTGTTCTTAATAGAATATTTCATTTCTAAATTATCATAAGATTATTAATTATGAACTTGACAATAGTCAAGCATTAATTATAGATTAATAAAGGAAATTTTTAATAATTTTGTATTTAACTAATAAAAAGTATTTATTTTTTAGAGCGCAAATGGATTTAGACGTCAAACTTTTTCCAAAATGTACACTATTCCTGTTTTACAATTTTTTTCGAATTCCTATTCAGTTTTGTCTAGCCATCATTTATATGTATTATTTGCATTTCGTAATGGTAATGACAGTCTTACTTTTGATAGCACTGATTTTATCAATTCATTAACTTCCTCGCTATGTTTGATCGTTGGCAATATTAAGTTATTTTTTAGAATTTTTTCACCAAACCCATGTGTTTTCCATACCTGCACAAGTGCGAAAATATTTCATAAAATTGTCGCTTTTACGGTAAACGATCACTCTACTTTAACATCTTGTATTTTTTCACATTATGCTAACTTGTTGTTATGAAATACGCTTATTATAAATATATAATACAAGTCAAGGGCGTATTTGAGTTAGTTATTTTTAAATATTTATCACGATGCACAACACAGATTAATAATTTAAAAAGAAAAGAAAGATTAAAAATGAAATATATATTAATAAAAAAAAAATAATAATAAAAATAAAACAAAATCAATTTTATTTAATAATGTTGATAATAATAATTTAATTATTCAGTATTTTAAGAATACTATATGAATTATAATAATCACGAATTATTATTTTAAAATAATAATAATAATAAAAAAGAAAGGACAATAAAATTAAAGAAAACCTAAATGTCAAAAGACAGATTGTAATAACAAATGTAAAAGGCCACGAAGAAGGAAGAAGCAGACAAGCGCCGCCGTCGTTCTCGACGGTCGTCACACCGTCCGTGAACGCTTCGGGGCTCATCGCTGACTCCAAAAACTAGTTCAATTATCTATCGGGCGTCCCGATTGATAATCGAACGAATGGTGACACCAAGGCAAAGGGGTGTAACGGGTGAGATCACGGTATTCGTGTGACACGACCGTGTCATATTGATGATAACCATAAAGAGTCGGCAAACTCGTTTAATGATTTTTTTAGTAACGTAGGAAAAATCTGGCAGAAAACTTTGATGAGAGTGCTAATATCGATTTGATCAGGAACGATGATAATTTCTTTAGTTCCTTTGACTAAATTTTTTAAATAAAATTGAGGTCTCAGTGGTACGTGAAATTATAAACAATTTTAGGGAGGATAGGGAGGCCGTTGGATGGGATGGGATAACGGTCAAAATCCTAAAAAATATATCGGAATTAATCATGTCTCTACTAATTTACATATTTAATTGAAATATAAAAAACAGTATTTTCCCAGATTACTTTAAAATTGCAGTAATTAAACCTTTATTTAAAGGCGGTGATCGCAAAATAATAAGTAACTATAGGCCTATATCTAT